TTTACATAAGCGATTACGGATCAGTAAGTTGATGTGGCAATGACCCGGCCATATGGCTCGAAGAAGCGACAACCGATAGGAAAAAAAGGTTATTGAGTGTCAGCCTCGTACCAATAAGCGAAGTTTAGCGTGGTCTTTCACTAGATGGACTAGCGACCTGCTTAGAAATGCAGTAAGACTGGGTAAGACGATGGATGAAGGTGACTAAGGGCCATGCTTTGTGGCATTCTTTGAAGAAGGTCTATTTTCAGCAGTTGATTTGAGATGGACTGTTATGATGATGATGATATGATGACATGGTCTATTGAGTTTATTGAACGTATTTCTCTGTAGAAAATATCTTTCTATTCTTTTAAATACTTTTAAAAGTTCGGACGCGCTGTTTGTTTTTTTACGATGGATATAAATTATAGTTAGATGCAACAAAGGCCTTCGTTGATGGGAATTTGGTCTCGCCGAATTGCTTTCGAAAAAAATTCAATAACAAAATAGTCAACGTGGTATAAAAAAACTTTACCAACACAAAGTTTTGTGAATTTTCATCCTTGATCATTTAACGCCTTTAATATGAGATTTTTCATATACATAGCTGCAGATATAAAGAATTTACAGTTCACCTGAAGGTAAGTGCAACCCGTGAACACTTGCATCAAACTTCAAACAAAGAAGGGTACAGGTGTGTTGTCACCTCTGAGGATCAAGTTTCGCTTTTTATATGGTAGAGCCATGCTACAGCTATCAACACGAATGAGTCACCTTCACTGGGGGAAGATCACGCTTTCACAGAATACGAGTTTGAAATAGCAAAATAATGCAGTGTTTCGTATGGCGAGGGTAGACAACCGGTGGCCCTAACAGAGTATTCTATATTAGTCCTGAAAATGACAATATATCTGCATTTTGAATGTTAATCGAGAAAGGATGTAGATAACTATAGGTCCCATTCACCCATTCACTTTCCATCAAGAGTATAGGTGTTCGGTTGTCACCTATGTTCTGAAAAAACCAAGATGAAATGCTTCCTAGCCTGCAATCATACTGCTCTCTTTACCCTTTACTGAAACACAGCAGTGTAGGCGCTGCTATTTGGTGGCAGAACAAGGTAAGAAGGTGTACGTCTGGATACTCGCCCAGACGAACTCCTAGGCAGAATGGGAGATCTACCACCTAGTATAATATGCGATAGTAGATAGATCTACCACCTAGTATAATACAGATATCAGGTGGGATCGTAGATAAATGCTGGCTTAGTAGAATATATAAAAAAAAATTGTATCGTTAAAACTATACTAATATCCTCCATACCTTCTACACCTGGAAAGGCACATTTCCAGCAATGAACTTTTACGGGCTGATGAGGATGAAGATTACCGCGTAGTGGCGATATAAGAATATCCACTGCCTCGTTTTATCCCGTGGGTGTCGTAAGAGGCGACAGAGGGAAACAAATCAGGAGATGGGCAGTATCGTCTTCCTAATAGCGACTAAAAAAAACTGCGGTTGCCAACCCGCTTGCCAAGCGTGGCAACTATGGCAAATATCCCCCTATGAGGCAATCTATGGGGGAGGGCTATGTTCAGTAGTGGAGTTTAATAGGCTGTAACGGTAACGGTAACGAAAATTGAGGAAAATGAAATCATTAATAAAAAGTGCCAAACAATTGTTTAGAAAGAAAGTTTTTCCAATGACAGGCTCATAATTGATGTTGACGTGATATCTTGCTCTAAAATGTTATTCCTGCGCACACTTTCCTGAATTAATCTTATTGAATATTCAGAGGCTGGCCTCTTATACGCTAAAAGTCTAACGCTACTAGATAACATTTTGGAGCACCAGGTGGAGATAATAAAATAAAGCAGTTTTTACTCTAATTGTTAAAACCACAAGAGTTATATACAAATTTGAAGAAATAATCCCATCCCTAAGGGTCGCGAAATAAGGGATGCAATTTTTAGTGTAAAGTATTACAGGAGTATGAATGAGGAAAGAGTGACAAAGCAAATTTATGTTGCAGAGGTGAACGGCATAGTCGGGAAGGGTCGCCCTAGGCGAAAGTTTATCGACCAAATTGGCGATATATTAAAAATGGGCCAAATCAAGAGTACCTTTAACCGACGAGCGTGTATGCGTAGGTATATGGATGTGGAGGAAGCGAGAGAGGTGTGTCAGGATCTTGCCAAATGGAAGTCCATAATCTCTGCCTACCCCACTGGGTGACAGGCGTGAGTGTTTATGTTTTTTTATTACAGGAGTCGCAGAAAGGAATAATAATACGCCTGACTGTTAGTTGTTTCCTTTACTACTTTTACAGCACGAAAAGCCTCTCAATCATTATTGCAATCGTTTAAATAATATCACACAATGGTGGTAGCTATCCCTAATACCTATCCAAACTGAACCTAGCAACAGTTGGAATGTGTAAGAATTATACAATCCAAACAATTTTATAATATGAAAATAAGTAAACCACTGTTATAAATATTACTGATAAGTCAATTAATTACAATTGTTTAGATAATGAAAATACTTATATAATATTCTTTACAAATCTCTCAAATTCTAAATTAAAATAAACTGAGAAAATTATCTATGATAATACAATAACTTATAATCTATTTTATATAATTAAAAAAAAATAAAACAAAACGATAATTACACAATTATTATTTTAATGATTCATAATAGGAACTATTTAACAATAACTGATAACAAAAGTTAATATTAGCTCTTTAGACGACATTGTGATTTTTACTAAAAGTTATGTTTTATCATTCGTCTTTACTTAATTACTTTATTTCCTTCCAAGTCTTTCTTATACATACATCCATCTTGCACTCATTTTACCATCTTATGTCTTCCTTTGTCTTAACCGAATACCAGCGTAATGCTGCTGTGTTTCGAATGGTGAGTATAGAAAACCGGAGACCCTTTTTTACTGGAAACGAGGTATTCCATCTTAGTCCTCACGGCTGAAAACGCAAACGTGTGCTCGTTTGTCACCCTTTATTATTAAAAAAAGGAAACTAGTGTTAGGTCATTTACCTGCCTCTGATTTATTATGGTTTACCATAGTATTGTTCCTACACGTATTTAAACAGTAGCGGTGGGTAATGAGTAATCAACAAAACACGTGGGCGACAGAGGCAAACCAACCAGGAGATGGGCAGTAGCGTCTTCCAAATAGAAGATAAAAAACTGCGTTTTTTTTATAGAATACAATAATGACAAATGAGCACACAATCCACCTGATGGTAAGTAGTTACTGTGACCCATAGACATCTACATCTATCCTCAATAAAGACTCAAAATACAGATGCGTTGTCACCCGTGAGGACTAAAATGGAATACCTCTTTTCCAGTAAAAAGGGTCTCCGGTTCTCTACACTCACCATACGAAACACAGCAGTGTTAAGCTGATATTTAACGCTGGTATTCTGTGAGAGCGTGGTTCTTTCCCGGTCAAGCCGACCCATTCGTGCTACAACTATACTACTTATATAGCTGCAGCATGGCTCTATCACGTATAAAAGCGGTTGCCAACCTGCCCGTAAAGTAGACTTCGTGTCAGTGTCAGGCGACTATGGTAAATATCCCCCTTATGAGGTGACGTATGGAAAGGCCTACGTTCAGCAATGGACTTTGAGAATGAAAAAAAAACTAAGCAAAGAACTTACTATAAACTGAATTTCTTTTAATACAAGTGGTTTTAAACAGCAGTAATTTTGTATGCAGATTGGATTGCTCGTGCATGTTACGAATAATCTACACATTAATACATGAAGGAAAATATTTGTACCCCTTCTGAAGATATGGTGCATAGTGAAGAGTGTGAGATTGGGCGTAGTAAAATTTATATGGAAAAGGAGTGCAGAAAGCTAAAATTATGGGAGTATGTGTTACAAATGAAATAACATTAAATTAAATGAGACGATGGCAAGCGACCCGACGGTATGACTTTGCTAAACCTCTCTCCCAAGGGACCTACTGCTACTTACATAGGTACTTTGGCGGCTTCTCATCTCAGGGCTACCTCGTTTACGGCTGAGCTCGGTTACAGCTGAATTAAGTAAGTGGTGCAAATATGAGTCTCTGAGAGATGACTACATATTTTTACCATTTGTTGTAGAGACTATCGGTCCATGGGGTCTACGTGCGGTGAAGTTCCTAAAGAAACTGTATCCACGACTAATTAGATGGCTGGTTCTTTTCTTGCTTAAAGGTTAAGTATAGCCATTCGGCGAGGAAACGCAGCCAGCGTTCTTGTCACTATACCACTGGTATTTTCAACGTGGTAGAGCCATGCTGCAGCTATATTAATAGTATAGTTGTAGCACGAATGGGTCGGCTCAACCGGGGAAACATCACGCTCACACAGAATACCAGCGTAAAATAGTAGCTTAACACTGCTGTTTTTCGTATGGTGCGTGTAGAGAACCGGAAAAAAAACCGTTTTTTTTTACTGGAAAAGAGGCATTCCATTTTAGTCCTCACGGGTGACAACGCATCTGCATTTTGATTCTTTATTGAGGATAAATGTAGATGTCTATGGGTCACAGCAACCACTTACCATCAGGTAAGTGTGCTCGTTTGTTACCCTTATTCTATAAAAAATATATTAGGTATATGTGTTTAAGGCTCGTCCCCGCGCCAACGGTATTGGGTTTGTGGGCAGAACTCTTTACTGCTCTCCAGATCACCCGCACTAAAATATCGCGCGCACTTTCTCGCTACAAGATTAGAGTTTCCTGCTACAAAAGTACGGTATACGTATGCCATATAGTGACACGCTGGTGTCATAGAGCAGAAAACTTACAGAGAGGCTACCAATGCTTTAGTACCTTTATTTTAGTAAAACTTACAATCCGACGCTGTGTCCATAGACGTCGTACATCTATCATCAGTTGAAAAATAAAATACGTATACCTTGTTAACCCGTACTAAGTCCGAACATGTTTTATGTGCTGATATATTAGCTGAACCTTAAGAATATATTTTTGCAGCCAGTTGGCATCTACCGTGGCAAGTATGAGTGGGCCAATGAGCACAATACAATGAGTGGTGACTGCTCATTGTGGGTGCGCGCAGCCTCGCTGCAACTCGACGACGGACAGTGGCAGTGCCAGGTCACCGCTAGCAACTATAATGTTCAGGTAAATAATATATAAAATATATTTCATCGTTTCATTGTATATTATTTATAGCCTGCACTTGTTTTTGATTTAGTGAATATACTTTTTAAATTATTTTTGACCCTACTGCAGTGTCACTTCAAAAGGTAGGTTATATTTTTGACCTGGTAATAATTTCCCCCAGACCCAATTCGCTTACGGCAACCAGACTCATTAGAGACTAACTATCTGCACAGGATAGGATAATATTGCACGCGTGTATGCGCAAGCACATGTACATATATTGTACACTCTCTATTCCCTCACTCTAATAGTTCGATGGGACGGCAATCCAACACAAACGGAGAAAAATTAGATTCAGGACCAACGGTTTGTTGTACTTTCTGTGGTGCGGGGGTAAAACATAGCGAATTCGGGCTGCTACCGATAATTTCTTGAAAGAACAACCCAATAACTGATTTTGGTTCGCCCCAGGATTCGAACCTGGGACCACATAATCAGTGGTTGCGCATACAACCACTAAACCAACGACGCAGTCACGTTTTTCCCTCCTGGTTTTTTTTTATAGGAGAAGTGGCAAACGAGCATGCGGCTCACCTGATGGTAAGTGACTACCGCCGCCTATTAACAACCGAAACACCAGGGGAATTTTAGGTGCGTTGCCGGCGTTTTATACGTGGTAGAGCCATGCTGCAGCTATATTACTGGTATAGTTGTAGCACGAATGGGTCGGCTCCACAGGGGAAGGACCACGCTGTCACAGAATACCAGCGTAAAATAGCAGCTAAACACTGCTGTATTTCGTATGGTGAGTGTATAGAACCGGAGACCCCTTTTACTGGAAAAGAGGCATCCCATCTTAGTCCTCACGGGTGATAACGCATCTACATTTTGATTCTTTATTGAAGATATATGTAGATGTCTATGAGTCACAGCAACCATTTACCATCAGGTGAACTGTGTGCTCGTTTATCATCCTAATTCTATAAAAAAAAGGAGTAAGCTCTTTTCTTGAAGGTCGCTAAGTTTTATCGGTCCGGAAAAATCTCCGGTGGTAAATAATTCCACAGAGAAGTTATACGAGGAAGAAAATTCCTAGTAAAACGCCAAGCATCGAGATGATGAGGATGGTATCGTGAATTTAGACGCGATGTGCGTTCGTGAAATTTGGCGGCTGGAATTAATCCGAACAATTCCTCAGAGCACTCCCCGTGGTAAATTCGATAGAAAATGCAAAGGGATGCAACATCCCTACGCAACGCCTGGGGAATCGAGCCGATTAGAATGAACTCGGTCGTCAACGATTCGAACCGCTATGCGCTGGATGCGGTCAAATGGAAGGAGCTGGCACTGGAGTGGCCCGGCCCAGATATGAGAACAGTATTCCATGTGAGGCCGAATTTGCGCCTTGTAAAGTTCCAAGCGATATTTCACCATGAAATACTGTCTCACTCTGCTGAGCACGCCAAGCTTTTTAGAGGCCAATTTAGCCTTCACTTTCAAGTGACCAAGAAACTGCACGCTAGTCGATATGTCGACGCCGAGGATTCCGATGCTAGCTGGGGCAGCAATGGCAGTGCCTTGAAATTGAGGAGATACGACAAAGGGGTTCTTTCTAGCAGTAAACGCGCAAACTTGTGTCTTCTGGGGATTGAACTGGACTAGATTTAGTCGGCCCCAATCCGAATCTTTGATCAGCAAAGACTAGACTTCAGACACAAGTTTATCCCGGTACTCGGTGACGTTTTCCCGAGAAATATTGGCACGACCGGTATATAAGGCATTACCAGTGCTGTCGTCTGCATAGCAATGTATGTTACCAGTTTGCAACATATCATTGATGTGCAGGAGAACCAGCGTTGGTGGTTGCAAGCAGCCTTGTGGAACACCAGCGTTGATAGGCTTGTAATCAGAGCATGAACTGTCTACTACGACTTTGATGCTCCGATCAGCAAGGAAACTGATGATCCATTTGCACAATTTCTTGGGAAGACCTTAGGAAGGGAGCTTCGAAAGAAGCGCTTTGTGCCAGACCCGATTGAAGTCCTTCGCTATGTCGAAACTAATGGCCAATGCTTCCCGCTTGGACTCTACTATCTCCACCCATCTATGAGTCAGGTAGACCAGAAGATCACCAGCTGATCGAACCCGACGGAAACCGTACTGGCGGTCACTAATCAGCTGGTGGTCCTCAAGGTGCCTTATGAATTATCAGTTTGTAACGAATTCCATTATTTTGAACAACAAGGAGGTGATGGCGATAGGCCTGTATTTAGACGGGTCTTAGTTGTTACCTGTTTGAGGGATCGGGTGGACCAAAGCTGCCTTCCATTAATTCGGGACTACGCCTTGGGAGTAAGACTACCGGAAAAGATGGTGCTCCGGAGCACAGGTCTTCAGCACAATGGGAGGGACTCCGTCAGGCCCACTCGACTTGCTGACGTCCAGGGTGAGGAGTGCTTTGCGAACCGAGCGTTGTGTAAACCCCACATCTGGCATGGAGCACTCACACCGCGGGATGGTCGGCGTTGTGGTCCCCCAGTCATCAAGAGTCGAGTTAGACGCAAAGAGAGAGCCTAACAGCTCGGCTTTCTCCTTTGCGGCATGGGCCGGTGAGTCGTCCTCTCTGTACAGAGATGGAAGAGATGGCTGACAGAAATTCTTGAATGCATGGGTTCCTGAAGGAATCCGAACTAGCTTCTCGCCAATTCTGCCGACGTGCTCAGACCTTGCCTTAGCATTGACTCTTTTGAAAAAAAAAAGAAGTATAATTCCGCCTCCAGGTCCTGGAGGCGGAATTATACTTCTTTTTAAGAGCGCTGGTGTTTACATCCCGAGACGTTGATGCGTCAGCCCAGGCCTGGTAGCGCTCCTGCTTATTGCGTGATGCTATTTTACAAAAGTGGCCAAACCATGGCTGGGATCTGCATCCGATGGGCACGACAGGGGATGGAATAAAAAGTTCCATACTCTGAAGTACCACATCAGTAACAGAAACAGCAACAACGCTGGGATCGTCCGGCGAGAAGCAAATCAAGGGTAGGATGAAAAAAAAACCGCATCCTATCCCAATCGGCCGACCTATAATCCCAAACACGGCGGCTGCCTGCATAATGCAACCGCGACGTTAGTGTGAGTGGCACCACACTCCGGACAAGACAATGGTCCGACGAGCCTGGAGGGGCGTTGACGGAAACCTGATATCAGTCCGGATGAGAAGTTAGCAGAAGGTCTACCGGGGAAGGTGCATGATCCTCCACATTTTGAATCCGCGTAGGTAAAGTAACCAGCCGTATAAGACCATATGCTAAGGCAAAGTCATAAACAGATCTCCCCGCAAGATCGATTAAACGTGAACAGAGCCATTCGGCGTGGTAGGCGTTAAAATCGCCAAGGATCACGATCTCTGCGGATGGGATCTGCTGTAGAAAGGAATCTGGAGACATTTGGACGTGGTCGATGAGTCGGTCTGTTTTCGAAATAGAAAATCAAAAGATATACACTGTTCTCTGACTCTTTTTCACTGCTGCAATGAAATGAAATGAAATGAAAACTCTTCATTTTTCAACGAAAGAAATGAAAATTTCTCAATTCAGAAATCACCATAATTTTTATTTTTATTACCGTTTCAAAATGTGGTTCCTCTATCAGAAAAAAAAAGGCGAAGAAAGTAATGCATAATTTTCTTAATCAAAATTGAAAAGTTGCACACAAGTGTGTTAAAAAAACACATACAAAAAGATTTTATAAATTAAAGAGAGTATTATTATCAAAGAGAGGTATTGCATCAGCATTTTGATTCTTAATCGAGGATAGATTGATGTCCATGGATAACAGCATCTACTTAATATCTGGTGAACTGTGTGGTAATTTGCTACTTTTTGTAAAATAAAGTTATCTTTCAGATGACAACTTCAGTTTAAAGCAAGACTTAATATTTAAGTCCCTTACATTAGTAAATTAATTGACAAATATCCCCAGAAATAAAAACGTGAAATCACTTTGTTTTAGGATGCCCTTTCCAGTGCTCCTGCGGCACTCGCTGTAAGAGTTCCACCACAAACGCCTAGAATACTCTTCAACGGTTCTCATGTACTGCCAGGTCAGAACATCACAGTGGCGGCTGGATCCAGGGCGACCGTCGTATGTGAAGCTAGATATGGCAACCCGCCCGCTTACATCGAATGGTACTTAGGTAAGCTAGAAATAATGAGTATGTTTTTAATTCTATTAACCTGTTAATCAAATAAATAATTCTATTAATATACGGTGTACTCTTTAATTGCGGTCATAAAATATTGTAATATTTTGCCAATATTCAAACATAGAAGATTATGTTCATGTCTGAAAGATATAAACACAATATTATACGAGTTAGTCTAGTCAGACAATTAAGTAAATTTCGGTATGTTTAATCCTACTAATCCTACTGTAATATTATAAACGTGAAAGTTTGTGGGGATGTATGGATATTTGTTACTCTTTCACGCAAAAACTATTGAATGGATTTTAATGTAAATAATATAGCTTATACATTCGCCAAAATATAACCATAAATGTTATGTAAGTCTGAAAAAAATATGTCATCTGCGAGCTATTTTGGCGTGAACACGCATCACGCAAAAACCTGTGAACCGATTTGGATTGGAATTTAACTGGCAGATAGCTGATGTTATAAGGAGTAATTTAGAATACTTTTATTTTAGGGTTCCGCGCAAAAAAATTCCATGCGGGCGTAGTCGCGGGGAACAGCTAGTTATTAATATTTTAGATTATAATATTTTTTTTAAAGGAATAAGGTGACTTCGATGGCAGAAAAGAATGTGTAGCAAGAAAATGGCAGAACCTTAGGGATGGAATGGTAAGTGCAGCGGAAGAAGTGTGTGGAACAATAAAAAGAGGCAGTAGTGAAAGAAGAGATGCATGGTGGAATGATGAAGTGAAAGAAGCTGTAAAGAAGAAGAAGATAGCATGGTTAGACTACTTGGCCTCTAGTAATGATAAGGATATGAGAGAGAAGATGAAAGAAAGATATAGGCTGCAGAAAGTTCACACGAAAGCACTGATTGAGGAAGTGAGTGAAAGGTGTAGAATGGAAGCGGACGAAAGGTTGTCGCATAACTTTAAGGAGAACTCCAAACTCTTCTGCAAAGAGGTTGGAAGGACCCGAAGTGGTGCGACGGCCTTAAGAATGAACAAAGTGCTTTCGAGAACTAATGACGTCCTCTCAGAAAAATCGGACGTCATGCAGCGATGGAGCGAATTTTATAGAGAAATGTATGCGTGTGATGATCTTAGTGAGAGATCCGGGGATGACGCCGTGACTGGTACGCCAGACCCGGACCTTGATGACACTGAGGTCATCAGTATGAAAGAGATTGAACGTGCGATTCGAAGTTTGAAATGTGGTAAGGCTGCGGGACTAGACAGAGTTACTGCTGAAATGGTCAAGTATGGTGGGCCTCGAGTCTGGGACAGCTTCCATCTGCTGTGCAATTTGTGCTGGCGGTCGGGGGATGTCCCGGATGATTGGCGATCCGCAGTCATTGTGCCTTTATATAAAGGTAAAGGTTCACATTTTTAATTGCGGGTGCTATCGGGCGATCAGCTTGACCAGTTTAGCAAGTAAAGTTTACTCGATGGTTTTGACACGTAGGATGCAAGAGAAATCGGAAAGATTTCTATAGGAGGCACAATGCGGATTTAGACCTGGAAGAGGATACACGGATCAAATGTTTTCTCTCCGCATGATCACGAAAAAGGTTCTGGCTGCTAACCAGAAGATTTTCTGTGCTTTTGTGGATCTTTAGAAAGCATTTGATAAGGTTGTAAGGAAGAAAATGTGGGAACTGTTGCCGGGGTATGGTGTGGATGGTCGATTGCTAAGGGCTGTGCAGTCTCTTTACTGTGACTGTAAAGCCTGTGTGCGGGTCGGGCATGACCTGTCACCCATGTTTAACGTCCAAACGGGCGTAAAACAGGGTTGTGTCATGTCTTCTTGGCTGTTCATACTGTATCTCGACAGCTGTTTACAGAAGCTGAAAGATAGCTGTTTGGGTGTGAAATTGGGTGACATAAAAGTAAATTGTCTGCTGTATGCTGATGATGCAGTGCTTATTGCACCATCAGAGGCAGAACTGCAGGCATTAGTCACGTGTATGAAAGAAATGTGAAATTAAAGGTCTCCGTTTGAATGCTAATAAAACTAAGGTTCTGGTATTTGAAAGGGACGAAGAGAGAACGAAGTGTGAAATATGGGTAAATCAGGAATGTCTAGAACAGGTAAATGAAATTGTATACTTGGGGAGTGCTTTTAGCCGGGATGGAAGATATGATTTAGATGTGGACAGGCGTGTCGCTGCCGGGAACAAAGTCAATGGTGCCCTGACTGCGTTAGTCGAAAGGCAAGGCGTAGCGAAGAGTGCACGCCTTGCAATACATAACGCAGTGTTGGTACCGACTTTGTTATATGGCAGCGAAACTTGGGTATGCCAGAAGAAGCATAAAAGTAAGTTGAATGCAGTGGAGATGCGATCTCTTCGTAAAATGTGCGGCGTTACTATGGCCGACCGAAAGCGAAACGAAGAGATTCGCAATATGGCAGGTTTGAAAGATGACCTTATCACAAAAATTGATAAGGGCGTGCTTCGGTGGTTTGGGCACGTTGAGCGAATGAGTGAAGACCGAATGGTGAAGAAAATATATAACACGAAAGTTAATATTAAAAGGTGTCGAGGTAGACCGAGACTAACTTTCGAAGACCATGTGAGCAAATTGCTCGAAGAGGGTAGGGTCAAGAGTACTCGGATACCTAGACATGCATGCATGAAGAAGATAATGAATCTGAAAGAAGCGAAAGAGGTTTGTAAGGATCGTGACACTTGGCGATCTGTTCTCTCTGGCTACCCCGTCAAGGATTGTGCGTGAAGATAAGTAAGTAATAAGGTGACAAACGAGCACACAGTCCACCTGCTGGACCCATAGACATCTACATTTATTCTCGTTTGCGAATCAAAATGCAGATGCGTTGTCACCCGTGAGAACTAAGTTGGAATGCCTCTTTTCCAGTAAAAAGGGTCTCCGGTTCTCTACATTCACCATACGAAACACAGCAGGCTGGTATTCTGTGAGAGCGTGTTCCTTCCCTGGTCGAGTCGACCCATTTGTACTACAACTTTACTACTATTATATCTGCAGCATGGCTCTACCACGTATTTTCGGAAATGTAGAGAATATATTTGGTAGAATATGTTATTCTCTTCATTTCCTTTTTAGGTTGTCTGGAAGAAATTGCTGTATAGCAATAACACCGCCTTTTGTTTTTCTCTCTGTTTGTTTCTTGTTATGTTATTTGTTTTTTTTTTAGTGAACAATAAAGGATATTGTATTGTTTGTATTGTACGAGATCTTGGATGCAGAGTGTCTCTATCTGTGTATAGCATATGTATAATCATGATCGGATCGGATATAATGGGATCGATCCGGTAGATAAACCACGCTATTACGGATTACCAGCTGAAAATAGAACCTGCTAGAACCAGAATCCTTTTTGCTCTTAGTGCTTAATCAACGATAAATGGTATCTGTGGGTCACATAATTCACTTACCATCAGATGTGTTCTCGATTTTACAATTAGTTTTATAAATAACTATATTTTTAGTATAATTATTTTTAATTAAAATAATAAAAGGCCTCATTGATGCAAAAGCAATTCCTAGTGTTAGGTTTCTTTTAAAAATATGACTGCTTTTCATTATACCTACAAGATGAAATTGAAGTCTTTAGCATACATTGAACATATTTTTACTCATATTGAGGAATATTTTAAAGTAATTTAAATAAGTAACGGCGCGGAAGAAAGTTAAAACAAACAAATAAAAAGCAAAGTCCCAAGACGTCGCAATCTCTGATGAATGTTGTTTTTGAGAGTTCATGATTTAATGTTGTTTATTGTTTATTTTGGCGTTTGTATGAATTGAAGAGCCATTTTTTGTATTTAAACACGGGCACTACCACTATTTAGAAGTAAATTAGCCGATTTTGTAGAAGTTGTGTATTGAATTTATCAGTGGCGGATTTACCAGCAGGCTGAGTAGTCTGGAGCATAGGGCGGCAGATTTTAGGGGCGGGGATTTCGTGGCAAATTTTTTTTCATTTTTCTCTTACATAAATTTTCCTACAATTTGCGTAGTCGCGTTTGGTTGTGGCGCGGAAACGAGTGACATGACCATTCGCTAAGTGTGTTTTGTCGAAATGCCTGCCCTATGTAGTATATTATCTATGGAAATGCTGATTTTTTGATCGAACAAGAGAGGCGCGGCCGCCACGGGAGCCGCAGCAGGATCGTGCTGTTGAAGGCGTACGCTGCGTGTTGGCATTGAGTTCAAAACAGATATCTGTATTTACTTCAATGCCAAAAGAAATGCCGCCTCGGTTGAATCCTAGTGCGATTTCTAATACGTAGTAATATTTCTCTGGCACAATTTTTTCTTTACAATTGGTTCTTGCCGTAGTATGATAATTCCGCAAACATGTCTGGTGTGTGTATAATGGCTAAAATTCAAAGCCAACCACCTTTTGCTTTTTTCGTTCCTTGTTCTGTGCTCTCTTAAAATTTAGTGGCAACTGCGGCTGATGAATGTTACACAAAAGCTTGTCGCTTCTTCAGTTCTTCGTAGCTGAACGAGAAATTTTTAAGTATTTCCAAGAAAAGTGATCGAATTAAGCGTGTCGAAGCAGTATACAAAAGAAGTGGAGAAAATACAACCGGAAAGGAAAAAAAATATGATGGGACACCTGATAAAGAAATGAGAATGACTTAGAGTGATACCTTCAGGGCTAATACATTTCTCGTCATCATTGTTTAGACTCGTATCTGAATTAGAAATACGATAGGACGCCTACTGTTGTAGTTCTTATAACCTGTTGGTTCAAAAAAACTTTTTCCTTTGGCCCGAAATCCAAAATCAACAACATCATCAAGATTAACCCTTACAGAAAAATACTTTTTCTTGGAAAAAATGTATCCTAATGATTAAGAGACTGACTTAGTTCAAGAATTCATACATTTTCAATGCCACCTTTCATTGAAAATTTTATCTTCATTCCTGCAAAACCAGAATTTTCAAAATGTTTATCAAAACTTGGATATGGCAGTTCACGAGTGTTTTTTTCACTGTTTAAAGTAAGAAAAG